AACTTCTGATAAATATTACGAATATCTATTGAGCTACTTAATTAAAAGTTAGTAGTCAGAATGTATGTATCTGTTTAGTTTTCAATACGAAAGGTTTGGATTAATTCAATAGAAAACTATCCTCCATTAAAATGTTAACAAGAGTTACTTAATGTGATTGATTGAACAATTATAAACATTAGAAATTTCGTAATTCTCAGTACTGAGTTTAAACCTGAGTCATATTTATTACTTTGGAGGTAATAAAACTCTGTTAGTTTGATTTATACAAGCTACAGTCTTTCTCAGAACAGATTACTGTTAATCAATTGGTTGAATACATGATTTGAGAAAATAAACATTGTAGATACTGAATATCTTGTTTAGTGAGTGTGTTGTAGCCTACATCAACATTACAAGTTTCTTATTTCCTAAACCACGATTTCCTTCCCGAACTTTATTCTTTTGGGTATCTGGGGTTATCTAAAATGTTGGACTACACTACATTTAACTAATATCTATGTATGTATGCATTATAATGTAAGACTGATAAATAAGCCTGTTTTCAGACATAGATTGTAACCTTTATTTTATTAGTTCATAACAAATATACATGTCCTGCCAAATGTTGCAAGAATATATAGTTATGTTAGCTGATAAATAGCAATATTATCAAGGTAACTACGGCAAAAATAAAAGATTCTTGACCAATAAAAGGTCTGAAAATTTCAAGTGCATCTTTATGATCAATGATATGTCGTAAAGATTGGTAGAACATTAAACAGCATTGATTAAATTGATGAATGAAATGACAATCAAACTATTATTAAGGCATAATTACAACTAGTTACTAAGGCATAAACATTCCGGATAGACAAGCCCGGATATATATAAATTAGTCACAAAACAATCCGTTGAAAAATTTCTCTATATTTATACATATATATTTCAAATTCTATCTTAACATATTACTAGTGTAAAAGAGAAACAATGTAATTCAATGACTAATTTAACATCAATTCAGTAACTTAGATGAATCTAGCTACTTGATAATATACCCGTATTGCATAATACATTATGATAGATGATGTGTGGGTGAGAATGATAATGATTGGTTGTCTGCTTAGTCAGATATACAGATAGTCCGAGAGGTTTTAGGTGGATTGTGTCGGATAATTGTCGGTTTCCGGTGTGGAAATATATATTTACATTTTAGTCATGCTAATCACATGTTCGTGATCATCTGATTTGTGTTGAATTCCTGTAGAATAGACAATGGGAGGGAATTTAATGTAGATATTCGTTTAAGGTAACTTAACATGCCATACATATAGATGAAGTAAAACCAAGAATTATAACAATAGATAAGAATAAAATAATCTTTATTATTAAAAACCAAAATAGTTTACAATTATGTTACTTTTAAAATATTAAATTCCATTCTCATTAACTTTGCTTCACAGTCAGTCAACTACAACGTAGGACCAGGCACATATAAGCATCGGTTCAAGTTGACATATCTCATTAGCACAACAAGATGAACACCAGATCTATAGATTATACTCATTGTTTTGTTTTTTTTTTGTTGCTATAATTCAACAGACAAAATTTCTCTATTTTAATTAATTTGTAAAATGAATACACGTAATCAATAATTAAATGTTTAATAATAAACCGTGACCAGTGGAGTTATTCCGTGTCGGGTAGAGACAAGTATCTACCTCAGTATAGTGGAAGATGGTGGTGCAATTAAGTGGGTTGGTTGATGTTAGACATTAACACCGTTGGATGCTGGCTCATTGGTAAAGTAGGTTAATCGTTCATGCGCGGGACTGAGGGCCCCAGGTTCGAATCCCGCGAGCTGGGTCGTGTGTGCACACTGCTGAGGAGTCCCACAACAGGACGGAACGGCCGTCCAGTGCTTCTAGGCTTTCAATGGTGGTCTAACACCAATCGGTTCAAGATCTCAACGAATAATAAGTGTTAACTACTATATTCAATTTACAAGTTGCATTAACTAAGGGTGGATTGCCTAACTAAGATGTGGTACCAATCGCTGAAGTTGTTTAATGTTGGCCTGAACAGTGTAGGAGTCTGTGTAGTTGATTGTGACCAGCAGTTCAAAAAGGGGTTCGGAATCTGTCTCAATGATGTTCGATCTTTGTATTCCCCTATTTATTGAGTCTTATAGTTATCTTATACTTTTGATTCCTTCTTCTCGAATCATACTATTTATTAACTATATTTCCTACATTGATTATGACTGAGTGGATAGAGTCAAAATCATTAGTTGGTTGGTGTTAGGCAGTCGACAAGTAGCGCTGGTCCCAGGTTAAGTTTATTATATCAAGCAACTGGCTTTAAAAGGTAGTCAATCCTATCCGACACTAAGATTAGGAAATATTGGGTTTGGATTGCAAAATGGTCGAATATTTTCACAAAATAGACATTTAATTAGCTTATTATTAACATTTTAGAAAAACTAATTAGTGATAGACCGGGGATTCCTAGATACATCGTGTGCTGTCTCAAACCCAAATGGTAAGTGAGAAGTGAAAACGAGATGTACTATTGGAGTAGGTGAGTTGAGTATATGGCTATGGTCCTAGTCTACACATCAATGTCCGAGTCAGTAAGGATTAAAACAATTTATACGTCAGTTGTTAAGTTTTGGCAATTAAACCTTTCTACTACTTTCCGTTTTTTTATTTCCGCAGTGAATCTGATAAGTCATTTGGAAAGTATTATTGTAACTAGATCGGACTGTAGACCAAGATCGTTAGACAAAACGAGTATATATCACAATCAAAACATAGTATTTCAAGATTTCAGGTACTTGTTGTTGAAGGTTAATAGACGGAAATTTCCTCATCCATTTGTAAAGGTTTGAACCCTTTGTAGTTAATGTTATGGACCACAATTAGTCCATACCTTCTGAGATGACTCACTCGATATTGACTACGTAAATAACGCCTAGAGAGTTTGAAGCGGAAGCCACTGGGCTTGAGTCCCAATGTAAACATCAACACTGGGATAGAAGTTCATATGACGAATAACAGATAGGGCGAACCTTGTGTCTTGAATCCCACTACTAGTCACTAACCTTGCATAAGAAATGAAATTTATCTAAAATAAATAAGCCTCTAAACATTTAGAGGAGAACTGAATAGAAAATTGCGTTAAAATATCTTATTGAGGAATTTCATCTTAATTTATGGTAGACAGAATTCTTGATTCAATCCATAGACGTTAAAACAAGGTGATACATTTTACAAGAACTGAATGAATTACGTCTGTTTTAATTGCATTTAGAGAACAGACAATTTTCTTGAAATTTTGAGTTAGTTTATAGAAACGTTTTATAAAGATATTTCTATTCCACTAGGAAAAGAAGACTGATACTCTTTGATTGAAGGTAGGCCCAATACTAACTAGCGCCTAACAAAAAGATGGAACACAAGACCACTGACCACCAGTCTAAGATCGTTATTACATTTCATACAGACGTACCTTATGTACAAGCAGATCAGACTGCATCAAACCATAAAATAGAGAATGATTGTTGTTTCGCGTTCTTTTTTTCTGGTTTTATATGATTACATGTAAATTTTAACTGGACTGGAATTGGCCTATTTCATACCGTTTATTCCTCCTCTTTGGAAACATGATGTATCAGTCTTCCTATTACGGAAACACCGGTTCCTATACGTTGTAGCATATAACAACTGATAGCCAGAAAATCAATCACAAATCTTAGTACAGTCCATAAGTTTCGTCAGACCACAGCATCTTCATTAGTTCTAATTCAACAATCCCACCTTTCCCCCCACAAATGTAGGGTGTTTTATGATTTTACAACCCACTACATGTCTAAACACAGTAACAATGGCCCCCAGTTAGTGCTGAACAAAAGCATGTTGTGAAAAACCGAACTGTAACACTGGAGAAGAAACTGTTTAGTCTATCTTTCTTGGCGTAAACGTAACATCTATCATTTCAAAACGCTCGTGATATTGTAGTTATGGTACTTACTCAGCTTATTTATGCTCTTCATATATTATCTATTTAGAACAACACTGTGTTTACAATCCTTATGGCTTTCAAGGTATGTATTCAGAAAATAATGATGAACTCTAAGATGCCATCTCTGATTATTCATTTCGCTTGCACCTCACACTTCACAGTATTAATATATTTATGACATCTTTACTGTCAAAACAATTTATCAATCACATCTCACATAATCTACCCTCGTTTTTTAAATGTTATTATTATTTTTAAAATATATTATTACTATGTATTACTGCTTTGATTTTGGCAAATATCTTCAACCAAATGCAGATTTACAAAATTGTATATTGTCCTTATCTACTTTCTAAATAGTCATGATTAATAACTCAGTGATAAGATTGTGAAATGGTTGGTCTAATACAACTAGTGTCAGTGAAGCTAATATATACCTATATGTACATAGGATACAAAATGTAGCAATCTTTTCATTGTTTCCAAATGGCAATTTTCAATGTATAAGAGTAAATGATATTGTCTACTATTTTAGACTAGGTAAATTTGAAGAAATAACCTTACTGATTGACAATTTAAGCAGTAAATTTATATTAAGATTAATCTTTATCGAAAAAGAAAATGCCAGTCAAAATGTGTCACAGTAAATTTAACTTTAATTACAGTAGATCAAGCAAACCGAAATAACGAAAAAAAGTTTTTTTTTACATGAGTCTATTGTCAAAATGCAACAAAATGTTCTTAGTGTACATTAATTAAGAAAACAGCATTTCACTGGTAATAAACAAGACATAAATTATTTGTCAGGAAATTAAAATAAAATTTGAATACATATAAACTAGTAAATGAAGTCATAAATTGAAGATACAAACCGGAAATCAAATAAATTATTTACATTTACCTAAAACCTGGTAGGAAAAGTAGGCAAATTGAAAAGCAGTATTTATTATAAGCTGGAATGTCTTCGAAAAAAAGAACTTATTATCACATAAAAAAGATTACTTCTTCTCATTCTCAATAATATGTAAACCCTCACTTATAACAGATGACCATGAACTATCGTCAATTTTTATGAGAATAATTTCCACAGCATCTTCACGTACAATCAGTTGTGACCGTTTATTATCTAGTGTGCCCGGTAATTTGTTAACATGAAGTCGATAATTACAGTCTTTTAAAGAATCAAGCCCATGAAATTCAAACAGAAAACCATCATTACTTAGATGAAATACTATTTCACCATTTGATGCTTTTTTGTAAAGTTTGGGAATAAGTTTTTTATGAAATTCTAATATAGTTGATGATTTTAAGCCATGAATTTGTATAGTAATACGTAATTTGTTTGTTGCTAGACTTGTATCTAATGCGTAATTTGGTACTACTGAATTATCATCACGACTTGAATATGCCATAATTTGAATAGATCTGAAATTAAACCGGTGAGATAAGAACAAAAAAGGTGATTACTAACGAGGTTGATCAATGTAATCATGAAACATTCACTTTCGGATACTATTGATACAATGGCGCTGGACACGCCAGAATTTTGAACACGTCATAGATCCTATGTCACCATGAAAAATTCTAATGAGTGAACGTGTTGTTGAACGCATTAGAATGTTTACCCAGAACAAATAAAGTATGATTTAAAAACGAATGAAATAAAATTCCACCTGCTAATAGATGATGTATGTTCGGAATAATAATATTGAATGCAGTGTAAGTTGTTTTTGATGATCGAGAAATTTCATTTAGTCCGTTTCTTAGCATAAACGTACGCCTAACCACGGATGTGTATAGGTTTAAGTTGCCACACACCACATCACACCAGTTGTAAAGGAAGCTGATAAGATGAGTAAAAGAACTGAACCTCCTTGGACGAGCATCAAAAATTAGAAGATACAGCACTAAGAGATGAAATTAAATCGAAGAATGACGAACAAATAATCAAAATTGACTCAAGATCCATATCATAAGGAATGCCAAAGGACCATTGCGACTGATCTTGCGGTATATCACATAACGCATTCAACCGTGGATCCTGAATAACACATGGGCTTCAGCTAGAAAGGTCTGAGCACAACAGCACGATTCACACAGATAGTCAGTGACTATATGAATTCATGACAAGTTTCTATCTGCTTGCCCTGGTTTTAAACCTACTACGTTATCAACAAGCATTAAAACTAGGGGTGAACGGGTACTTTAAGTGGACTCCAGGATATGCCAATCGATAAGAATTTTGGGAAAGTCGTTTAGATCCATCTTGAAATATTAACGTAAAAATGTAATACAGAGAAAGTGGCCACAAAAGACATTTTGTTTAATCGAAGCTTTCACCGACAAAAGACTCATATTCAAGAGCGACAGAGCATTATAATGCTCTGCAAATGTCATAACATTTCCAAGCTCATAATAGGATGTCTTGAAAGTAGTGATAAGAATCCAAGTGGTTATGAATGGAATAAAAGAAGTGGTGAGACTATAATTTATGGAAGACTTTAAAGCGATATTAAGGTGGACTAGAAAGACTTCAACCAATTACTATGACCAGGAAAAGTTTAAAAATAAATGTGAGGAATTACAACTAGCTGTTTGTGCTTAAAGCCAACGATTCAAGTCAGGTTTTCTACCACGAACCGACATCAGCTATAATGCCAAAATGCTATCTATTCAGATGGATTGAGATTCGTGCGAATAATTAAGTAGTTTTAACTTTAACCTCATTAGTCCCTTCATAATTCATAGTCCCACTATATAAGAGGCAAAATAGAAATATCAGTCAAAAAGAATGACGTACTATCTTGAATCCTTGGAATGTACCCAATCTCCCTATTTTGGGGTTTTCCCCAAAGCTTGAGTAAATCAACAATGTTTTGGGGATGTATTGCCAAAACTTGCCAAACATCACAACTTAATCAACCTTTAGACACTAAAGCACTTTATACTTGGAGTTAATTGCAGACTAAAAGCAATTTTAAACCAAATTTACGGTATCTCCTCACTGTAACGCCTAACTATATACAATTTGCGTCCCCCAAGGTTAGGTAATTTCAAAATTCAATGATGAACATGTTTGTGACGAGCTTGTATGAAACGATCAAATCCTTTACGTTCGCTCTTTTGTGTTTCACTACGATTAAACGTCTTCATTAATCCTCAGTTAGAGGTGTTCAGTCAGTCAACTTGAATATTTCTAGTCATTTTAGTAGATATTTATGTGTTTGGGTATTATGTTTGTTCCACAATAGTATGGTTCCTGGCACTATCAGCTACCGCATTACCACGCATTTTTTGATTGGCTATAGTTTGAAAAAGAAAAAAGAAGAAGTATGAGTGTAGGAGAGCTAGGCGAAATTGATCGTTTAAAGAAACAAATAAGTGAATCAATTAATTATTCCAAAGATTTGAGAAACCCGAAGTGTAACCACAGGTAGAAGGAGTTGAGGGTTAAAGAGATAAGACTAAAGTGATGATATCTGATTATGATAAAACCAAATAAGTTACAAGATATTCATTAGGGACCGCTTTTCTGAACACGAGATGAAATTCCGTGAGCAATCATTATCAAATATCCTCGTGAAGCAATAGCCTTAGGTTGCTGTAATCCTTTCTGCCAGGGCAGCATGCTAAATTATCGAAGCTGTCATCAAAATAGGCAGAAGTATACCCGAGACTGTACTGTGTGATGTCCGATAATTTTGGGATCGACTCGTCGACCGTGTTGGTGAGGTTTTTGTAGGATATATGTGTTGGGGTGGCTTGGCTTGCTTAGTATGTTGTATGCCGTCGTCAGTTTACGTCTTATCCTCTTACGACTCAGAAAGGATGACCACAAGCATTGAAGCCTATCTTCATAAGATTTCTTTCTCACCACTATCATGAATTTTCCTATTCTTTAGTATAGTCGATCTATGAAAGTTATTACTGATTTGAATTTCAGGATCAGCTGAGCATCAGCTGAGTTGCATAAAACATTGCTCAGGTATGGAAAGGTGAAGTACCTCCTCTGGTACTTTGATGATCTGAAGAGAGAAAATATTATTCTTGATCAATCGAAGTTATTAAGATAAAGCACATCAAATTATTCCAGTGGCATCGAACATAAGAATAATATTTCATTATATTGAAAAACGTAAGTCAATTTCTCAGTCTAAAAATGCTACAGATACTTTTTTAAGTCCGTAGAAATGAACTTGGTGAGATTTCAAAGTTGCTTAGGAATTATTTCTTAGCTGAACGATCGTAGAGACCCCTACGAAAGTTTTCATAGTTGGAGTAACTTGAATAAGCTTGTAAACGAACACATGATCCTCAATTAGCTGTTGATCACCAACGTAGATGATCTATGTCGAATGACTGAGGACCTAGTCGAGTTGGATGGGAATAGCTTGACCAACCAGCTGACTTCAAAATCACATCTCATGATTAGCCCTTGACGTAGATTACCCTTCCGTCGTACCCAGGTTCCCAGCTCAACTGGATCCATCGGAGATCGAGGCGGCACACACAGACCTTCCTATAGATGTCACTCCACCGACGATCGAAGAAATCAGGATGGACATCAGACAAATGAAGTGTGGGGAAGCAGCAGGACCTGACAATATACCGGCCAAAGCACTAAAGTCAGGCATAGACGAATAGACAGGATTCCGTAAGGATCGGTTATGTACAAAACAAATCGCGACGTTACGTATCATCGTTGAACAATCAGCTGAGTGGAACTCGTCACTAAATATCAAATTCATTGATTATGAGAAGGCGTTTGACACTGTGGATAGAAGAACAGTATGGATATTTCTTCGGCACCATGGTGTACTTGTTATGGCCGTCAATGTCATATGGAATTTACACAATAAACAACACCGCAAAGTTGCACAAGGAGGACAGGTGACAGATGCATTTTGGGTGAGGATCAGTGTCAGACGAGGATGTTTGCTCTCCCCTTTCTCTTTCTTCTGGTCTTTGACTGGATTATGAAACTTCCATATCTGAAAGGAATCACGAAACGCAACGGACAGTTTGGATTCAACTAGACCATTTGGACTTCGCAGATCACCTAGCCCTTCTATCCCATACACACGAACAAATGCAAATGAAGACAACTAGTGTAACAGCAGTCTCTGCATCAGTAGGCCTTGACACACCAAAGGGAAAAACAAACATCCTCAAATGTAGAACACCAGCCCAATCACACTTTATGAAGAAACGATGGAAGGCGTGGAAACGTTCATGTACCTGAGTAGCACCATCGGCAAACAGGGAGGATAGGACGCAGACGTATAGGCGACGATTGACAAAGCAGGGACAGCATTCCTACAGTTGAAGATCATGCGGAACTCAAAGCAACTGTCAACCAACATCAAAGTTAGAATCTTCAACACAAGCATCGAGACAGTTCTGCTGTATGGAAATGAAACTTGAAGAACTGCCACAATGACCATCCAAAAAGTACAGGTATTTACGAACAATTGTCTACTCAAGATACCCGATGTCCGTTGACCGAATACCATCTGCAACAGTCTAATGTGGGAAAGAACAAGCCAGCGGGAAAAGAAAAGACGTTGGAAGTGGATAAAAAATACATTGAGAAAATCACCAAACTACATCACAAGACAAGCACTTACTTGGAATCCTTGAAGGAAACGGAATAAAGGAAGGCCAAAGATTCCACTAAGCCGAGAATTGGAGGTGGAAATGAAAATGATGAAAAGCAACTGAAAACAACTGGAAAGGATTGTTCAGGACAGAAATGGACGGACAATACTGATGGGCAATCTGTGCTTCACTACGAGGAGTGACAGGCGTAATTAAGTTGATTTAGAGGTAGTATTTGAAGATTTTAAGGCTGATGAGCTGGTTATATGAATTCGGAAGAGATTTTTTCACAGTCCATAATGTACTACTTGACTCAGTCTGTTCAGCTAGTAGTGTCAATTGAGAATAATACAATCGTTGTCAATACTGAATCACTGTTTAATTTAGGAAGGGCTTTACAATCATGCATACTTTATTATGCCTTAGAAATCTCTCACTTTTTAGTTTAAAGGGAAACATTTCAAGAAACTTTTCCATCAGTACCCAAAATGTTTGACACTCATAGTTCACAAGCCAATTCTCGGTTTGAATATTTTAATTACCTTGTTTATCTTAAAAACTCGTTGTGATCAGAAAAACAATAAATATGTTTTTAATAAAACAGCAATATCAGCAATCACTTCGAAGTAACTGTCAGTAAATAACCATTGACTCGACCTAAATATTTCACAATTGTCATTGGAATGCGTTTTTAATGATCAACAATTAAATTGAGTATTTACATAGTCGGGTTATGAACGACTGCAAAAAGGAATCCCGAACCATCCACAATACCAATGGAGAACCTCCAGGCTCATATGAGACCTGCAGCTCT